GTGGAGGCTTTATACAAAATGATCATCCTCTTCATCATCAATGAAGAATGATAGTTCAATATTTGTTAGGGTGCTATTTTGGTTATTACGGTGTCCTATATTATATTGTATTTCAAATCCTGTTAGTGAAAAATACACGTGTGGTATATATTTCAAAGATGTTGTCATTTAATGGTAATTTGAACTGTATTTGATTGAAGTAACATTAATGAATGGTGGTTAATATGGCCTAATTTAGATGGATTAATATCCATGGTTGATTATATGACATTTGCGTACTTGAATGGTAGGTCCAAACAATAAAATATAATACAGAATCAAATTAAACATACAAAGTCGCTTGCATATTTCATCAGTGTTGTTCTGTGAAGTTGTAACATGTAACAACAAATTCTTATTCATGTGTTCTGAGACTACATGAATAAGTCGGTGCTGCTACAATAAGTTCTTATTCATTTGTACCCAATTGTTTGTTCATGAAAAGAACCGATGACAACAAAATATAAACTTTATAAAACGTTTTTAACAGTTCTTCGACCTTAGAGTAAGTGGAGGAATGGAATGAGATTCGGAATGAGAATGGGAATGGCTACATACAAAACTGCATTAGAGTAATCGCACAACGAACAATTAATATTGACATATGCACAGGTGTGGCAGACATTAATAAATGTAAGGCTAATCTCCTGCAAGACACGTGAAGGAATTGATAATTGGATACAATTAATTTAGACTAACAAAGTCCCGTTGAAGTTAACATGGCTAAATATAATAATTAGAACATAACAATTATACTTACTTAGAGACTAAATTGTCGATCAAAGTTATGACAGCATGACCGTATAATAGGAGTGGTACAACATTAAATTGGACGTGTTCTACTATATAATGCAGAAACACTGTGCATGTGATAATTGTCATATGGTACAGTAATGACAGCAACTTACAAACAACAACAGAGGAAGGGGCAAAAGTATTATATATACGCCTTGTTCCAGAAACGCATATTTGTTGCCATTCGTTTGTAATTAAGACGTGACCCTGTTCAACGAAAAAAGTGTTGCGACACAAACCATTCCCTGCAAACAACATGGAAAACAAAAACATTTAACCTACCAACATTGACGACCTTGGTACAGACCTAATACCTCAGTCAACAAACATTGCTAAGGTAATATTAATTCCCTGACAAATGATACTGATGACATTAAATATTTATTGTATTTGCCATTTAATGTGCTAATGTACATTGTCAATCTACTCCTATGTAGGAAGTTGGATCAGACGCCACTCATTTACATGCATCTAAAGATTGTTGTAAAATGATCGACGTAGGTTTTGTAATGACCATAATTGTATAATATAATGATGACTGACTTTTATAATTTTCAATGGAAAGGTGATATTACATAAGTGGTTTAAGTTACAATCATACTACCCTAACACTATAGTAATTGTGTTTTGGTTTTATCAGAGATTAGACAAACAAATGTATGGCATTTTGAAGAAGTTGGAAACCCTAGAAGTACGACTAACAATGATGCCAATAGTTTTGTGTAAGACTAATGGTGCCGACAATGATAATGTGGATGAAAAGTTTGCCCATGACACCCACTTCAAAAACAGAAAAGGGAAAAAGACCAGTAATTTCTGATGACCTACGATATCAAACATCAACAGTCAGTGCATCCAACATTCGGCAAACTACATTAGTCCTAACTGAGGAAGATGACAGTGATATAATCGTCATGCTATCCGAAGAAGATGATGACATTGACGACCAAAATGCCGTATGTTTCTCAAATTTTAGAGGTAGAAAAGATTATATGTCAAACCTGCCTACTACTTCAATGTCGTCATTAACCAAGGTTTGTAACTATTGCCATTGCGTTTGTCTTGTAAGTCGTTGTCGTAAGACAACATTAACTGAACTATTATAATCATGGTTTATTTTTTAATGTACAAGACAAAAGTGGTTCGAAAGAGGTTATTGTCATCAGATTGTCATGAACAACGACCACCTGCACTTGCACTGCGTAGAAGAAGTTGTCCAATTATTCCTTTTGGACGATACAGCCAAGCTACAGGTCGTCAACTGACAACAATTTCACCAACTGGTTCTGTTGAACAAGTAAATTTAAATTTCATGTGCAGACCCAATGGATTCATTCTGCCTAGGGTAATAACACTTATTACATCAATGTCTTTTAACAATTAGTGTATGTATTATAATGGTTATTATTATTTGTTATGTTATTAAATAGTTTAATATTTATTTATTATGTGATATCTTTCTCATGTTTCAGTTTGTACAGTCAAAATTCAAAGTAACAGGAGATATGGGTTTGACAAGATTTGAGATGTAAGTATCGGCCTTTGTCTTTGGAAAGGATCTAGACACGAGGTGAGTGCCAATAACTATAATTTTAACAATGTTTGTATTAAACCATCAGAGAAAAGTGAGTAATACTCCTATTGGTAGCCAAAATATTTTCCAGCATAAAGTCATACCAATGACAAGAGGGGACTTTCATTGCCTATGTCTAGGCAACTATGTTTTTGAAAAGGTAGGTTCATCATTAACAACAATAGCTAATCGTTCATTTCGTCAAGACAATACAAATTCCTCTGACTCCAGAGTCATGACTTAACAAAATTATTATGAATAACTAAATATGTCAGATATTTGATCTTGTTGCAATGAAAATGATGTGGATGCAAGAACAATGTGGTCAGGACATCACACACTGGTTGTTTCCCCCTTCATTTGCGGTACAGCTGTCTTAAAATTTTTCTTTATCCTTTGTCGTTCGTCAATCGTTTTTGAAATAATACTCTAAGGCAATTTTCACCTAATACATATACAATTTTGGTTCGCAGCATCTGATAATCGAAGGAGAATTCTTAGGCCATTTACGAGATGATTATATGATTGACTGGATGCCACCAACATCACACTTATCATACGTTAGTCTAATGATAATTAAATAAATAATTTGTATACAAAACATTGCCATAGCTAACAAGAGTTGTTCATCTCCTCTTAACCGTCTATATTAAAGGGTAAAGCAGATATATGTGTCAATCCATAAGTCTGCTCATTGGTATTTAATGGTGATTAGTGTGAAGAAGAAAAAAGTTTATCATTTTGATTCATTTCCTCACGTCAATAACTTGGACGAAAGGAGAAAAAATATCAACACCATTGTAAGCAAGGACAAGAACATATGACATGGTATTATTATTAACATTTATTGTTTATCTTGCCTTAATAAACATATTGTCTATGAAAATGTCTTGCTGAACTAAAGTTGCTTTTACATTCAAACTATTATTCTTCTGAATGATAAGTGGTGAGGACGATTTTGATTCATGGCCAGTTGTAGAACCTAGAGGCATTCCAAACTACGGTGATAGGTAATTTTTTATATTATTAATTTTTCCTAATTTAACCTTTAATTTACATTTTTGAATAGAAATAATGATTATCATTTTTATTGGTTGTAGTGTTGACTTAGCAACTTGGGTTCTTCAATGGATATCCATGGGTTATGACTTTCAGACCAATCTCTTAGGAGTGGTATATATATATATATATAGACACAATATCTTCGTCGAAATACTACTCTCATATTTTCAAAGGTCAGTAACATCAGTTTTATATAGGTCAACCACAACAAAGTAACGATAAGGACAACATTATCACTGTTATTAGATCCTTTCAATCAAATACAAGCTTGGTAGGAAAGAAACACTGAACAAATGTGGAACCTATATCGAAGATGATTATTGTTAAATTTAATGGACTGTAAAATATTTTAATTACTATTTACTTGTTTAATTATGTTTACTTGCTGTAATATGTTTGCTTGTGTCAGTAAGTAATGTTATGATTAGTGATTTTAGGTTGCTTGTATTTTGGGTAGATTTGCACTCTTAGTTAGTGAGTGCATGACCTTTTTGCTGCAATATGTATCAGTATTATGATGGGTTATTTTTCTGATGCATTTTACACTAAAATATTAATGCATGGTTGCAGAATAGAATGGGTTATGTAGCAAAATGAAAATAGCTTTGTTCTTCCCTTTCCACTCTTCTCCTTATATTGTTTTATGGTTCTGTTTTATGTTTTATGGTATTTGCTATCTTCATTTAACAATTATGTCAATCCTGTCAAACTTAAAAAATCATTCCATTCCATAGCTCTATTCTACTTTGGGTTGCTAAACATCCATTTTTTGTTTTAGTTATCATTTATGTAATGTAATCTGAACAATGACATTTCTGGTGATGTTTATATTTAACCAAGTTCTACTAATATTACATACTAATTTACGCCATATTTTGTTCCAGAATAATAGAGTAACTGACGTCAACATTTGTTTCTACATATGGGTGTTATCAATCAATACAATTATTAAACAAATCCAAACTCCTAAGTCTCATGGTTATTTCATACGTGATTTTCAATCCTTTTCTTCAAATTTCATTCCACCATGTATATATACATAACTATTTTCATACTACACAGTACAACAATCATATATTTGTCACACATATGTATATATCTCTGTCCATCGAATACCAGCATATGTACAACACCTGAATCGTATATGGCATATCCACAAAATTGTACCTACACAGACTGAAAATTAAAATTTTATCTTTCCACAACCAAAAATCATGATACTTTATTCAGTGTCAACCATTTCAACATCTATGTCAACACATTACCTAAAAATCGTCAAACAAGTTACTTATGTCTTATGGTGCTTAATTACTATAATGTCAATTTTATAAATAACGTGTGTCATATTACATCCACTATGTCATAAATTTCCATATTATGAAAGCTCATATTGACTTATTATAAACAACAAATAAACACCACTACTGCTAAATAGAACATAGAACATAACATAACAGGTTAACAATCCAACGTAAATAAACAGCACACTTATATCAATTAACAACAGTCACAATAATACACTTTGATTTGATTAACTTTCTTCTCCTTCAACAGGTATCGTGTTTGAACAATCAAAACCCCCTGCAAAACATTTATAAGAAAACACATATTACTATTACTATTCTTCCCCATTGTATTCACGTCAAGTAATTGAAAACAATAACCATATTTCATATAATATTATTACCAGCTTTTAAGCTCTACAAATATTCTTCATAACACACACTTCTTAATGAAGAATTACAATCATTTGTCATCCTCAATAATTGACTTATATTAATGGCATGTCGACAGGTACGTTGAGAGTGACCAACAACTTTACAGTAACCACACCGTGTCACACGCTTGCGTTTCCTTCCAACAACACCACTGCACGTACCCACCGTATTATTTGTTTTGGCAATGGGGTTGTCTGCATCAATTCCACCACTATCACTGATGATATAATTAGTTGAATCACTCTCTTCATGTCCATACTTTCTTTTCAGCTGTTGCATTTCTCTTGTCAAAATTTCTCTAACATTACAAACCTCATGGTAACTTTGACAAGCCAATTGGAACACTAATCTTCCACTCTCACATAATAGTCCAAACCAACTCCTCCGTAGTGACCTTTCATCAGTATTTCTGATCATTTCATTGTCATATTCTTTATAACCTCCCTTTGCCAATTTTGTCCATCTACTTAACAGAAGACAACTTGGAAGGTAGTCAACTTGTAGGGACACCAGCACTGCAACAATGTGAGGACATGGTAAACCAAAAGACTCCATTGCAAGACAGGAACAACATATCTCCATTTTTGTTGGTTCCAAAGACACATTCCATTGTTTTGGTCTACGACTACACTTCATAACAATATAAGTCCTTGATGAAAAACATTGAATAATGTCAACCACTGTTAAAGATATTGACTTTAATAGTATTTCTCGAAAGACTTTAAAAACATTCATGGTATATACCATTGCTGCAAATTTCTCCAACTCAAATGCATGACTTACAGGCACTACATGACCATAACTTGACTTAAAATTCATTTCTTTTTCATTGTTACGAATGTTATCAACACATTGCTTAAAATTCTCCATAAATTCTCTCAAGTTATTTCTTGACTTAACGTACTTACCAATTTGAGAATGTAAACCCTCACATCTTGAGGTTGTCATTAACCCAGCAAAGAACTTACCCTTAATGTAAGCTGTACACCATATCTCTTTCTTATTATATAATTCATCAACCCATACATTACCTCCCAAATGACACTCCTCAACGGTAGAAGCCCACTTCTATTCAAATTGTTCAGTGTCCAGGTCACCAAGCATGCATTTTTTAAACAATTTACTAAACCTTTCATTGCGAACATTGCATGTGACATTCCTCATTAAATGCCACCCACACAATCGATGATAAGCATATGGGAAAACTTTCCTGATGGCATTCCTCATTGATATATCACCATCAGTAATCACACGATTAGGACACTTACCCTTCATTGTTGTTATAAACTGTTGAAGGACCCATATATAAGTATCTTTCTTTTCATCAGACACAACTGCACACCCAAATACACACGTCTGTTTATGATGATTGACACCAGAAAAAACTACAACAGGACATTTGTATTTATTCCTCCCATAAGTAGCATCAAAGGCAACAACATCTCCAAAGATGTTATAATCAATTTGACTCATACCATCACACCAGAATATATGCAACAACCACCCATTACAATCAACCTTGTGACCCCAATACAACTTGGGATCCTTTAAGCGCAACCTTATTAAGAATTTTTCTGCCTCCTTAACATCCCCATCCTGTCCTCTTCTATCTCTCTCAATCTGATTATACATATCTTTTTTGCAAAACCCAACCATGTCATAACTTCCTCTTTGGCTAACAAATGAGTCATATTTTGCAGGTCGGAATACCACTTTTCCTCATTCGATGCATCTGTTCAACATCACCATCATCCATTTTGCGATGTGACCTTAACATTCCAAAATAATTCTCATCAACTAAATTATGATTATGATCATCAAAGAATCGACAAACTACCCAGCACCCTGTATATACATCGAAACGTATCTCCATCTCTGCCTCACAGCCAAACCTAGTAATTGCTCTGTGCTCCCAAAGTCGATTGAGATTACATCTGTAAATTTCTCGTCGAAAACCTTGGCTTGAACAAACAAATTGCTGCCACACAACATCTTCATTCTTACTTTTACCCCCTTTATTTTTCCTCACACTAAACCCATTAATTTTGCCATATTTATTATAAAATTTATAACATTCCTCAACACTTAAAAATTCCATTCTCTTAATCTCAGTGCTACATAAATCACTCAAATTGACGTATCCATCCTTCTGCATATCGACTTCATCTGAACTTTCCATTTCCTCATCCACATTGCATTCCTCAACAACCTGTAACATATATAAATAATACACAGGTTACTTCGATTAACAACTATGGTTATTCACTCAAATACACATAGTCTACTCAAACCTCGTCGTTTCCTTCATCATTTCGAGGGAAATCCATGTTAAACTGATTTATATAATGGGTATTTTTTGCCTTCTACACTCCTTCCTTCATCCTATTCTCCTTTATCTTTGCATTGCAAATTCGTTTTGCCCTTCTTCTCTAACTAAGTATTTCACCTCTTCATACGAAAAATCCTACCACTCTACCACCCCTCAGTCCCTTCTCACCAAGGCTTTGTTTAGGCTAATACAATTTCTTCCTATGATTCAACACTAGAATTCACCATTTTTCCCAATAGCTCTACCAAGGCTTTCGCTTTTCTGTTGGTCACTAACGTAAAAACTTATAAATATGGATAGTACAACTGCCACACATCTGCATCGATTGCGTGATAAAATCAATGTCATTACGTGACCACCTATTACATTTGCACATGGACCTGATTTTGAATCGATTGTCTGGCATAACAGATGTCATTAGCCAACCACCTTCTACATTGTCTATATTTGCATCGGTTTTGTAGTCAAAATGATGTCATTATGCGGCCACATTTTACATATTGTGCATGCCCTTATTTTGCATCGGTTGTGTGGTCAAACCGATGTCATTTCACAAGCACCTTTTAAATATTGCGCATGCACTCTATTTGTATCAGTTTTGTGTTAAAACTGATGTCATTTCACCACAACATTCTTCACATTGCGCATCTACTGTATTTAGATTAATTGGGTTCTAAGGTAATATCTCCCTTTTACAATTACTTTGTTACTGTCTCATGTTAACCATATCTACATCGGGTGTATGGGGGGTATGATGTTAATGAAATTTCATGTATACAACTTGTCACATTTATGTTATTAACCCTCTTCATGTTGCTCACTATTCATTCCTATCTGTATTTGTTTACCTTTTCAATATTTAATCTTAGCCATCCAATTTTAAACTGCAACGATCAACGACTCACTTTCAATTAGTAATCACTTATGCAAAAGTAATGTTTTCAGAAAAAATACACTTTTTACAAAAGAATAGAGGATATTAGAATCACCCGTGTCACGAGACTTTCCACGCACCTCTCTTTGCTAGATTACTATGTAATTTGTTGAGTTACTAGGTTAAACTTTAGCCCAAATATTTAAAAGCTTGTTTTACCATATTTTGACCCAAATTCAATAAGAATGTAGTTACATCTTATGATCAAGTTATAACTATTTTGGTATATAATATGCTAGTGTTGGAGTATAATAATAGTAAAATATTATTAAAAATTTAATATCTAGTCACTAGATGGAGTATACATATTTAATAAAAATTTAAGATATTGTTATATACATAATGATTATATGAATGTGAAGTAATAATTTCTTTTTTTATCGTTAACTGTAATGTGGTTTTCTGTTTTTGTCAACAATTGAGAAGTAATATTTGAAAAGGGAAAGTAGCTAGCAGGCCAGCCTACAATCCATAGTGAGCTGGACTAACAAATTATTCGTACCCAACCAGCAATGGGTCAACTTAAATGTGTCTGACCAACTATAACTACTAGCTCTACGTTTGGATTAGATTTCGATAGATTGATGTGTTTAGAATTAATATTTATAAACGAGTTCAGAATAATTGATTTTATTTAAAGGGTAAAGTCTTATTCACATTGAAAGTTAAAATTTTTCACGTCTCTCAAAATGAATTCTACTTACAATTGATTTTTTTCTATCTCAAAAATTTGCCAAACAGATGCAACTACAAGTGGGATTAGTTATCGAAGTAAAAGAGCATTGAAATACAGACACACACGAGCATTGAAATACAGACACATCATCAGATTAATAGCTTTGTGTTGGGTCGAGAAAGAACGAATAACTCTTGGCGCAGTATCTCCATAATAAGTTAATTCGTGTGTAAGTGGAAATTCCATATGGATGAATGTATTTTGGGGCGTGTAGATGTTTGTATAATTAGAAGGGAAGTTCATGTTAGACTAATAGTGTGTTATAAAATGTGGCCGAAACATTTCTTAGTAATAAATCACAATGGTGTACAATCTCGTATATCTCATGTTGATGCAACTAAAATACATTGCATTACTTCATATGTATTAAGTATTAACAATGAATGAAGTACATAAGATCCTTACACTAAACATAATATAATTGAACCATGTAATATATTATCCTCAATACTCGAGTTTATTTCTATACACCTATTACGTGACAAAACAATACTAATCAACCAAATTATTTCACCTCAGAACAATTATTAGGCCCAACGGGTTCTCTCAAGCAACTAGAAATTGCCATAACTGCTGCTTCAATGGATGCATCTTCGCCCTGTTTCATTTGATGTTAAACCATTGACAAAGCTAATTAAAAAAAAAACCTACATTTAGAAGCAGAATCTACCTTTTCTTTCCAATAGAAAATGTTCCCATACTTCCCTGCCAAACGACTCCAGAAACTACGTGGGATGTCCAAATCAACTGAAGCACCCACGTTGAAATTCAATATATTCCCTGGTCAAAAGAGTGATTTAGTTTAAAATTGAGTAGAATAATTTTGAGCTGTTGAATGTGATCGAAATACGTGCATAAATTAATTTAAATTACACTTTTTTATTCAAACGTGTGTTTTCATCGAAAAGTATGAGAATTGATCTTGTAACTTCAAAACAAAAATCCAAACACCCCCTTCTTATATTACCTCTACTGGTAGGAAAAAAAATAAATTAATAAAAAAGAAGGAAGAACATAAGTAACAAAGAAGAGTTGGTAGATCCTTTACCAAATGTGGGATCAGCTACAAAGACAACTGTTCTGTCATCTACTTGCCAGAAATCCTTAATAGCCAAACCTGCAGAGTGCAATAGTTTATGCTTGAGTTTCAATAACAATAGCTTAACCCATAAATTTTAGGAGGTGAAATATCAGCTTGTGTGTTACGTGATATCCATATTATGATAAATTGTGCAATGGCCATAATAGAAAAACCTGGCGTATCTGGATAGTTCTGGGCCAAAACTCTTAACTTGAATCCAGTATCCGTTTCAAGATCAGCAATCTCTTGTGCTAGTCTTCTCTCCTGCAAATGAATGATCAACTGAAAATCACCAACATTCTTCTGTCTTTTCCTCAATTCATAAACACAACAATTCAGTTGTAATTTTGAGTTCACTTTGAATAAGGAGAAAGAGAAGCATTATATCATACTAATACTATTGCTATTGCTAGCTTAGGAGCTGTTTGGTTTTCAAAAATATTTTGTATTATTAATTATAAAAAAGCTATTTTAATCGTAATAAGAAATCAATAAATAGTAAAATTTTATAGATAGTTTTAGCGTTTAATAGTATCAACACATTAAATTGGATTAAATTCTATAATTTTCAATAAAAACTTACTATATATGTATGTATGTTATTATTAATTCTTTTACACATATTAGAAAAACTGATTTTAAGTTTATTTTGAATAAGGAAAAAATATCATAGTCATACTATTGCTATGTGCTAGCTTAAGCAACAGTCTGGTTTTAAAAAATATTTTTTAATCATATAAAAATAATGTAACTAATTAAAATGCAGAAACGAAAAATAAAAAGGCAGAACATTTTCAGAAAACAAACAGTCTCTTGGTTTCCAATTCCAAACGCCAATTTCATCACATTGCAAAGAGATTGGTTTCAATTCCTGAGCTTGAAAATGCATTGCAACATCAAAATTCAAACATTTAAGAGTTAGAAAGATAGTGAGAACACCAGACCTGTCCATCGGAGAGGAAGCCAGCAACATCAATGACAGTACTAAACTGCTTAGGGAGCAATTCAGGCTTGTTCACACCAACTTTAGCAGCCTCAGCCACCCCAATTCCTAAGAGTTTGAAAAATTACAATTTTTGCAATGATTTGCTGAAAAGGTGAAAAGGGGAGTGAGTGATTACCTCCAAACAATAAGCCAAGTGAGAGGGCTCCAGAGAGAGCAAAATGAAAAGGTTTGGAGAGAATGTTATGGTTGGAAATGTGTTGTGACGATGGTGGAAATGAAGAGAGATGACACGACACCGTTTTGGGAAGCGAACGAGTTGGGGAAGTGAGAGATGCAGATAGAGATAAAGATGATGATGGAATATTAAGATAACCAAAATGCGCCATCATTTTCTTTCTCTGAAACGTCCTCGCTAGTTACTTTAGGATCATTGCTTCTTTTCCAGCCCATCGTTATTATTATTTGGGTAGTGCTGCTCCGGGCCTGCGTATGTGCCCATGGGCTTCTTGTAGATTAGTACTAAATTGACTCATACACAATCCTATATATTTGTATTTATTGAAAATATTATAAATGTATTTATTTTCAATTTAAGTTCGTTCCTGTGGGAGTCTAAAAAATTTGCACCGTTAGTGAATCATACTTTTACCTATTTAAGAATCAACTCAATATTTATTTCATTAATTTAGCTTTTAGTTTTTAACACCCCAAGTTTTTAACTCTCGGTAGCTTTTTAAATAATAATGTCAAACATAACCAAGGATATATTATTAGATCAATTATTCAACTTTTTATTTTCTTTTTAATTTTAGGGTAAAAGAAATGCATTATGTTATCTATCTCTGTATTGAATGTGAATACTCATTTTTAAAGAGAAGTATTTTCAGAAGTTGTGTTAAATGATAATATTTAAAATAAAAAAAAAAAGAATATGCTCTACATGTAGTCCTATTTGGATAAACTTGTGAATAAGTTCTTATAAGATAAGAAAAATGATATAAAAAATTAATAAAACTTGTACTTCTCTATTTTTTGGAAATTAATATTATTTAACTTCTCAAAAACTTGAAGAGAGAAATCATTTTTAACTTATATAAAAAATTGTATTCATTTTTATATTATTTTCTTTTCTTACAAGAACTTATTCATAAGTTACACAAAAAGAACTTATATAACATCTTCTGTAATTAGTATCTTTTTAATTCAATTTAAATTATAACTTATTTTGAATTTTAAAACATTTATCTATTTAATTTAATCATTTTTAATATAATAAAATATTTACTATTGATATTTAAAGTGTTGAGTAGAATTGTGTCAGAGAATCTTAATAAGAAAAATTGAAAGCCATCCTCTTTCTCAAAGTTTCATATTTCCTTCCCATTTGTGAGGGAAAGACGAGGTAGTTTTAAAATCAAACTAGAAAAATAAATAAATAGTGCATAAACACGAAAATAATAAAAAGTGTCCATATTCATATTCTCGTAGAAATATGGACACTTTTTATTCTTTTCGTGTTTATTACTATTTATTCATTATATATATGTATATATAAACGCCATCACGTGAAAAAGTCGTTGAAAACCCCTTTTTTAGCAGAAAACACCAAAAATTACGTTGTGGGGAAACCAAAGAATTTGCTGGCTTTAGCTTCCAACTCCCAAACAAGGGAAGCGGAATTCCTCCCTAACACATGCATTAGAAGGGGAAGTAACTCTCCAACAATATAATTTCAATTTTACTTTTTTCTTTTTTTAAAACTTATAAACGCGAAAACTATCCTAATATGTCCGTTTAAATTTTGAACATAACTCCTAACATGCCCTTGTTTACAATATTATATTGAACTGTGACTTTTTTTTGGGTCGGAAGAACTAGCCTATTGAAATTGTGTGCTAACATTATTATACCTTGAAACAAACATCAACCAATGTATGGACAGACGATCCGCTCCACCTCAAGTTAGCCGTAATGTTATTTAGCTAAATAACGCTCATAACTAATCCGTTAATAAGGTTACATGCCAACACACACACACAAAACATTATAATTCTTGACTTACAGACTCAACAATCAACACAAGTTAAGTAGATGGTAGTGTAAGATGATGAGAAAAGACTGGCTAGGTGTTCACAGTATCTCAAACCTTCAACTTCTTACCGGAGTCAAATATCCTAACCTACCAAGACAATTTGTGAAACTTATGGGAACACACCCTGTTGGAATAGCAAATGTAATTAAAGAAGTTCCACTTTAGATAAGAATAGACAAGTTGAGCAACATGAAGTAGAAAGGACATATAACCTAATAACTTATGATTTTGGATAAGATGCAGTGAGTCTGCTTGTGTACTTTGCTCATGACACATTGATAGAGATCTCTACGGTGTTTTATCCCACTCGTATTCCCAAACACACCCCTATAGTTTTTAACATTACACTGACTGTTTTTAAGTTTATAATGCTTACACCCCTGTTTAAACTATTTTTACCCCTGAAACACAAATATCTCCAAAGTAGTGTTTCCGTAGCTTCTATAAATCCTACAGGAGGTAAATGGAGCTTCCCCTCATTCAACCCCAACGACTGAAAATAATTATGCCATTGACAAGAAACAAACATACCCTGACCTTATGTTTCGGTCATTATTTTTACACGATTTGTATTTTAAATAATTTTGTAGTTAAAACACACACATCTCAATAATCCAAAGGCATCACGCGGACTGGACATTTTAAAGTCATATTCAAATGTCATACTCCAGAGTGCTTGCAACAATTTTATCCATGTTTGCAACCAAAGTAAAGATAAGACAATGTCTGCAAGAAATGAAACAGAAGGAACCTAAGGAAAGTAAATAGGCCAGTTGTAGTAGTAATGATCTCGGTGAACCCTGTCCCAGGTCTTGTTCCACTGCAACAGCACAGATTTTTTATAAGATAATTACTTGCTCATATTAAATAAAGCACAAAGTAAACAAAAGTATCATCAGTGTTACAAAGCTCAGACACCTCTCTTGTTTGAAGTATCACGGTGTTGGACACATTTTCAACACCAACAATTTTCAAATACTTGTTCGACACATATCTAACACTTTGCAATAGGTGTCAAATTTAAAAAACTCAAAACTTAACTATACATGAACATCCATTAGTATTAAAAAAAAAATTCTTTCTTTTAGAAAAGCTAGCTTGTGTGTGTGCGCGCAGTGTCTCAAGTGACTTATATTTAAGACATTAGCTATGTCACCTGTGGTGACTGTATCAGAGTCTGAACTTCATAGGCCAGCGTTGAGCTAAAGCTTTAAGGGGTTGAGAGACGAAGGTAAAATTTTTATTTTAAACAAATATATTCAAAAATATTATTTAAAATAAAAGATATAAATTAAAAAATTAACAGTAAATTTAATGTATTAATTATGTATTTATCATAATAAATTATATAATTTTCTTAATTTAAAATTGAAAAAATGCCTTCCTCTCTCTTTCCCTCCAATCATACCCTACAGAAAATTTAGATAGCAATGGTAAAATAGCATACCAGGAACTCATAAGGCTGATTCTTCTTCATTGCCTGTTTCCAGTGATATTGCTCAAATAACATTGCTTTGTCATGCCAACTGCACATTAAAGGATCTTAGAATATGTGATGTAAGTTTGTGATATTGAAGAAAACAACGGGACAGGAAAGTGGCATTGGAGAAAGTCAGAAAACAACAGTTTCACTCATTGAAGCATTAAGGTAATAATCATAAAGCAAAATAATAATGATATAATAACTGAAACATCTCGCAGAACAAGTATAGGAGTCAAATGCATGATAATAACAGTTGCTGCACATACACACATACGAGTAAACCCTAGCATCCATAGAGTAAACCCCAAAAGTAAAGCTAAGCACTAGTAAAGTAACAATAATTCGATTACATGGTATCGTTTATGGAATTCGATTACATAGATCAAATGAAATGAAAAAGGAAGAGAGGGAGAGTGATACTTGTACTGATTAGAGAGCTGCCACATATAGGGATTGAAATATGTGAGAACACCGAAGAGAGCGGATCCGACCCAAATGTTGACGAATCGATCCGGGTCCGAATGGGGCACGCCGGGGTCACCACGATAAGCATTTCCAAAATACTTCTCCATTTTCGCCTTCCTCTTTCTCACACTTTCCACCACCATCTGTCTCCTCTTATCCACTTCTCCCAATATAAACATCAAACCACGCCTGTACCTACGCTACGTAATTCACGACGTCGTTTTTCCAAAATAATTGACAATTTTTTATTAGAAATATGTAAAATTCACTCAAATTTGGTTTTCAAAGTTATATTTAATAAATATTAAATATATTTCAATGATATTATAATTATTTTTGAAATATTTTAAATATATTCTTAAGTTTTTAAGATAGTTTGCAAATTATATTAAAAAAATAATTTATAATCAAGTATAAAATAAATTATCTTGATATATTTAAAACATATTTTTAAAGCAAAAAAAACTAATATATTTTATTTTTTAACCATAACTTACTAAAATAGCATAATTATTTTTAATCGTAATAAAAAATACACATATACTAATTTAAAATATTAAATATAATATAAAATTATGATAAAATTAAATTTTATCAAATTTTTAAGTGTTAATAAAGAATATATTTTTCTATAAAAGACAAAATATATATAATAAAGAATATGAGGCATAAGAATAATTTTAAATTAATTTAAAAATAATACTTATAAACACATTGAAATAATAACATGTATCCCTACGCAATAAAATGGTCAACTTTTTCATCTCTCGAATAAAAAATATATATCATGTTTAAGCTCTTATAGAGAGTTTTTTGTTATTGGCTTTCATTTTTAGGGAGGGTGCACTAGTAGTTCAACCACTACAGGATCAAATTTTTTCGGGTTAAGAGGACATTGACACAAACGTTCTAAGAGTAAGAGAGATTTCAATTTCAGGTAAAGACCAAACAGAGAAGCATCATGGTCACGAAAATGTACAGTAAAAAACTTTGAAACTACCATTAATGGCAATAGAGAATATAGACAATGATTGGAAATAGTAATTTCTGATGATGGTAGTGATAAATGATATAGAAGAAGAATGCTTGATAGTCGAAATGTTTTAAGAAATATAAACTAAATTGTCTTAGTAATAATAATTTTAAAGACTAAAATATTTAAAAAAATATACTATATCACGTAATTAATCGTATCTGATACTTACCATGAAATATTAGTATTATGTTCAAGTTTAAAAATTAAAATGTTTAATGAAAATAACAATTAAAGAGTAACATAACATTTTTAAAAATTTAGAAATTAAAATATCTTACACTTATTATCTTAGAAATCAAAATAAGGATTTAGTTATTAAACAAACTATTAAGATCTTAATTTTCTTTACTCATCTCATGTCACTGTATGTGAATGCCTCCCATTTATTTATCATCATCTATCATTTTTCTTGCAGTTGACATTTTCAAAGCTACTTGAAGGAAACACAGTATTCAAAATTTGGTAGAACAGACAAAGGTTTCCTCTGTTGGGCAACTTGTATGCATTAAAGGTGGAAAATAAAAGAAGAGAATGCCTTTTATTAGCCGTGACAGATACATAACATGATAAAAAAGGCTGATATGATATATTCTTTTACATTTTTGTATTAAGATACTGAGAATAATCATTATGGTGCTGAAGACCCATGGCAAATGCATCGCAAGATGAGGTAATTTCGCAGCGCCTCAATGGAGGTAAATAAGCAACATGGTGTAGAATCTAAAAAGTTAAACAAGCGACAGTTATTTTATATTGTATGATGTAAATTGAGTACTTCTCGTACTTCTTTCAATAAAACTTTGGCTTATAAACACTAACAGTTAGAAACAATTCTAGTACTAGAATTGTGTACAAAAAACGTCCATAAAAAGTACTGTTTTGGAGCATCATATATATTATATTGTTGAAATAATAAAATTCAGAAAATGTTTGGTTAAACACCGACTGTACTCATAACTCAAGTAGAACAGAGATAATGATGAAGTGGAAAAAAAGCCTTATTAAACAAGTACCTTGTTTGCAGGAGGTTATAAACAAAATATATACCAATCATCCTACGAGAATACACGTGATTTAGCTATCGTGACCCTTGCCTGTAATTTAATCCACATGCATAGTGCCATAAACACACAAATATGATGATACGGCCATTGAGAAGCCCAAAATTAAGCATGTGCCGAAGGCGGAGGAAGGGGGCAATGCACCCAATCATGCCAAATGAGATAAGTCTAGCTGTTGAGAAGGAATGTTGGGAATATTAAGAAGAGAAAATGCCAAGAGGAGGGCAAGCAGGATACGGGTCAGACTCTGGACCAGAGAGAGGGAGGCCAAATTCCTAATATATTCATTCAAGTTGGTGATAGGGTGTTCATAAAAATTCATCCAGGTAAACTGAAGAGCTTAGCTAAAAGGACGAATCAGAAGTTGGGTCCAAGACATTACGAGCCTTATGAAGTCATAAAGAAGATCAGTCCAGTCGCTTACAAACTTGCCCCACCAGCAGGCAGCTTGGTCCATCCAGTTTTTCCTGTTTCATTACTCAAAAAATAATCTTTTCTGCTACCCAAACCCAACCTCAGCCCTTGCTGGCTTGTTTATCTGAAAACTGGGAATTACACGTGCAACTTGAAGAAGCCATAGCTAATCAACAAAACCAGCAAGAAGAGATGGAGGTTTTAATCAAATGGCAACAGCTCCCTGCCTGAGAAAATTTGTGGGAGTCCTAGACAACTTCCCAACCTTCCACGGTGGGGACACCTACAGCCCACATTGAGAAGCCAAAAATTAAGCATGTCAAAAGGAGGAAGGGTGAGAGAAAGAAGGGGTAACCGACTACCTAGCTGGCAGCAGAGAATCGGGATGACTCTTGTGAATCCGTTGAGAGGGAATGTGAAGAATATTTGGAGGAGAGAATGCTGAGACCAGGAAGAACTAGGGTTAGACTCAGGAACAGGGAGAGACTGAGGCACTGAGCACTCTTGAATTGCTCAGATTTTCCTTTCTTTCATCTCAGTACTTGTCAACATTGTTTGGGCTCTGTGATTAGCTGATTTGAGTCTTATACACTTAGGGGCCCTGTTTGGATAAGTTTGTGGATTAAGTCCTTATAAGAGAAGAAAAATAATATAAAAATTTAATAAAACTTCTCCCTTAAGTTAAAATTAACTTGTACTTCTCTTTAAAAGCTAATCTCATATAACTTCTCTAAAATTCTCTAAAATTTGAAGACATCAATTATTTTTAATTAATCTTTTATATTGTTTTTCTTCTCTTACAAGGACTTATCCATAAGTTTATCCAAACAAAGCCTTAATAGTTAATACAATACAGATTTTCCACATTTCTTATCTCTGATTCCCTGATACCTATCACATAACAGACCCACGTATCATGATGCAACTAACAACACCAATGAAAATAGGCATTATTTATCATTATAAGATATCAAATCTGGTTCGATGCATGAATATCTTAAATTAACACAGGTGCAGGGGAGCAACAGTTTATTTCATATTTTTCAATGTTTGTTTTTTTGAGAAACAAACAAAACAAGAATTGATCCACAAACAGAAAAAAAACAACTAACTAGAAAATATCAGGCACGCATACAGAATACTTTTACCATATCATATCCACCACTGAGATACTAATACTGCTATTATATTTCTACTAAAGAAGTAATTATTGAAGTACCCACACCAAAACTTTCGCATAAAATATCTATTTTCCTATCTAGCAATGTAAAATCTAAACTTGGGGATAAAAATACATAAAAATTTGTTCACAATCCTTTGCAAGAAATGCAAAACCAACAATATAAGCACCACAAATCAAAATAAACACAATTAGGAACGGCCTATTCTTTGGGTCTAACAAGACCAAACCCTGACAAGGATAACAGTAACAACAACCTTAGAAAATAAGCTATTACAGCATAACATGAAGATCATGGCATGGGCACAGAAAATTCAGTATATTGATTCAATTGAATTAGGTGTGTAAACTACAATATGAGATGTGGACAGGAGCTTTATATTCAAAGATCCGTAGGAAAATTACAGCTAAACTAGCAAGAAAGAAACAAATTTAACTGCTCTAAAAAGATGTTAAGAGTGATTCTACAGGTAAGTCACAAAATCCTCACCAGAAGATCAGCAAGCCCTCAATCTCCGAACACCCCCTTATGCCTCCAAACGATGCCAACTCAATTCAAATCCATCATATGTGAGTCAACAAACACAAAATAATCAATCTACAACAGAGTGAGTTCTTGTGGGTTTTCTATGGACTGTTTGAGAATATATTCAGCCCTCCTCTTCTTATCATCCCTTTCATCTTCTCGACCAGCCAACGAAGCCGTTCTCGATGCATCCTTCTTCTGAAGCCTGGTATCCAAAGACTCCCCAATAAACTTCTTCCCAGTCCTGAACTTGAAATGCACGGTAGGCCTCACAGCAGGAACATCACTCTTCTTCCCTTCCAAACCATCATCATCATCATCATCACCACCACAAAAACCCCTACTCCCAAGCACCTCAATTGCAGGAGCAAAAGCATCCAACACAGAAACACGGTTCCCATCAACACCACCTTCATCCAAAACCGAAACCTTAACCGACGAATCCTCTTTATTCCTCGGAAGAACCAGATTGTTATTCTTATTGTTCTCTTTAGCAACCCCCTCTTCAGGATCCAAAGAAGTAGATGGTGTTGCTGCTTCCACTGACCCATTACGCAACAACAACCGCTTCTGCAAACTCAACAACGACCTTTCAGCTTTCCTACGCTGCCTAGCTTGTTCAATCTTATCCTCGCGAGGATCAGAAACCCTCTCATCCCACACTGGTGTGTGAATATACGTGTGAGCATCGGGTAAAGCCGGTAACCAAGCTGGAATGTGCTTCGACGGGGGTGTCTCACCCATTTGCACGAAACTCGGAATGTTCCTCCGTTCCCGAATCACCGGAAAACTAGGTATCGGGTTAGCGAACGGAACTTCATCCACTGATTCGACGAAATTCATGACATCTCTCAGTAAAAACCCTCGCGGCGATTCCAAATCCTCAAACCCTCGAATCACGTCGAACACGCTGCATTGCGATCTACCAGAGAGATTGGCGTAGAACTCTGAAGTTTTCCCCAGGTCAACGAGGTACCGAATCGCGACGTCGGCGAGGGCCTCCAAAGCCGAGTCTCTCGCGCCGTGGAACCCAGCTGCTTCGCATACCTGCGCCACAGCTAGCTTCGCCACGGCTCGCCCAAAGTCATCGGATGCAGCTCTTTCTCCGCCATGGCTCATTTCGGACCGAAATTAGGGTTTCCACGAGCGGCATTCTTTGGTTCCCATTAGGTTTGAATTCCAAAGAGTGCTGTTCGGAGAATGAAGAAGAAAAAAAACTACAAGTGGTGAGTGTTCCGAGTCTTGCAATGGATGAATGAGAGGGAAAATTAATTGAGAGAGCTGAAGAGTGAGATCTGCGCAAAGAAAAGAGGGTGGAAATGGAATGTGGTGGATGTGAATGAAGCATACAGGGGGAGGTTAATTTATAGAGTTCTGAGTAGTGGGTTCTCTTTGCAAAGTTTCTTTCATTTCTTGCTTTGTTAAAAGATGATGATTAGATGCTGGGTTGTTAAAGAACTTGTGCTAAAGTGTTTTCTTATTGTTCTATTATTAATATTATCCCAGATGATTAAACTTGAGATATACTTTCAGAGATGTATATTATATTTATTGGTTTTTTTTTTTCCCATAATCTCGTAAAAGCATGAAGATAGTGTTGGGTTTAAATAAATAATTGTTTTCTATAGCTTCATTCAATTTGAATTTTTGTGCTGACAATTATTTTTGTCGGATTTTCTTATTTTGCTGATTTTGTTTTTATCCTTACTTGGTTACACTCTAATTCTTATATGTTTCTTTCATTTAAAGTTTTGGTTTTTATAGACTGTACTTATTAGGGTATTAATTTTAAAATGTTTTATTCTTGTAGTTATAGTTATTAAAATATTAGCCTATAAAGGAAAAATATATAAATGAGTAAAATAATAATAACAGTATATGAAAAAAAGAAAATATAATCATATAAATTTTAACAGGGTCGAATTGTAAAAGATTATTTATTTCAACCTAGATAATAATTTATATTTTAAGTAAACGGAATAACTTATAAAGAGTGAAAAAAATATTTCCTAAACATGTTATGGAAACCCTACAAGTTTAGTAAAACAAGACAAGATTAATTTATAAGATTGTAATTTATAAGATTGTAAATTATATAGAAAAAGGATACTGTCAGATTTGTTCAAAAGAATGGTAAAATTATACGCGTATATAACTAATCATCCATCTTCTACCCTGTACAAATTGGGGTTTACCCTTCATTTCCTACCCTTTCCAGGCATTTCAGAAAACCCAGAGCCCATCATTTGATTGAAGTTGAACGCCAATTATGCTACAGATAACCTTATTGGTTGGTATCTTCCAGACATGTGGCATCAAAAGGGTAACATTTGCTCAATGCATTTAAGTATTGAGCATTGAACACATTATTTGCAACCTAACAAAGCTCAAGCATTTTTCACCTAGATAGACGATATCATTAGCTTTCAATTTTGAACATTACCATTCAATAGTCAAAATGTGATGATAAAATTGGAGGCTACAAAATCATAAAAGGGACTAATAGTAACATGCGGTCAAAATTGCAAAGACAGCTAGGTGCCAGTACAGAAATGCTAAGTATGAAGCTACAAAAGAAAACTGCAAAACTTATGTCAACCAACACTTGTATCAAATGCACAAATAAATTATTCAATTTTTTAGGAAAAAATTTTCTTCCGGGTATAAGAAATGAAGGAACTTGATCCAATTATATTGAAGTCCTCAATGTCTCAGCTTCACATCCATTTCTACAGGAAAGACTTTGCCTCGATGGTTGAAGATCATGAAGTCCACGTTGGCAGGTAAAGAAACAATCCTGCATCCAAGGTAACAAACCCAGGTGATTGGGATCCAAGTAAATCCATAACAATTCATATCACACCAGACACAAGTAGAATCAGACTAGGTTACTACATCAAGAAGTTCTATACTTAAGTATGAACAAAGTCCAACCAAATATAGCAATTACAGAGTTTTGGAAAGAGAAAATTCCTTTGACAAAGGACTAATACATTAATGATAGATATTTGAACACTTTTTGCACACCACTCTTAATATCCTTTCCAATGTGAAATCAAACACCACTTACATCACTCATTTTGACTATGTCGCATCAATGGTAATGACAAAAGTTCCAAGAACAACAAAACAGCTCTACCGGTGTCCTGAAAAGGGTTTGTAAAGTATCACGGTACATTATAAGGTAGCATGCTTTTACACAAACATAATTATATATTGGACATCAAGCCATATTTTCATGGAGGGTGCATCTAAGTATCTAACACTTATCCGACAGACTAAGCAGAAAACTAGTTCCTGTTCATTAAATTGTTATATCACTCAATGAAATAAAATAATAAATCATACAACTATGTGGAGGGGGAGAATGGCTGAACCACTGAAATCAAGCCTTCTGGTAATATTTATGTCATGCTGAGGAACAGTCAGAATTTCCTTTTCATTTTTCTTTTGAGAAATAATGCCAAATTAAGCATAATTGTCAAATCCAGTTGTCTAGAATCTAATCTACAGAATTATGAATGAAGAATCTAACAGAAGTAGCTTCATGGTGCTATGACAAATTAATGGATCCTCACCAATACATATGGATGATAATTTGCTCTATATTTGGAACTGGAAGTTATTTAGAGGAGGGGAAAGGAAAGGAAGAGGGGATGGAAAGCGAGTTACTTCCCTTTGTTTGGCAACTTAAGTAAGCAAAGGAGATCAATTATGATAAGATACCAAAAAGAAATTACACTTTCATTGAAGGAAAACAGATAAAATCCTTTCTCCAGCAGCTATTAGTCTCAGGAAGGGGATTGCACAAGTATAAAGAAGAAAACTCGGAGAAAACAGAAAAGGAATGTATAGACATTGGAAGTGGAGAACACAGTCCACTTCCTTCCCCTCATTAAAAATTTTCCAAACAAGTATACTTTTCCTTTCCCTATTCTTCATTTCCTTTCCAAACAAGTGGAGAACTTATTTTGATTAAATATACCAAAAAACTTGCTAAAATAAGTTTAAAAGAGTTTATGAAAGTCATCAGCTATTTCTATAATCTCTTTCAAAATGCCCTAAATCAAACTCACAATCAAAGCCTAAATCGCTAAGTAGCATTCCCAAAGTCAAGGAAGCATATCGGCTTTCATTGGACACAGATGCTATCCAGTCGCTAGTTCTCCAAAATTAAAATGACCTCTTACTAACATTACTTCCATTAAAGTGACAAAATCATATAAACCAAAAGCATAATTTGCCGTTCACAAGATCAAACTTCCAAATAGAAAAACAAGGGGCAGTAGTTACCTGTTCTCTTCAGAGTCAGGGTGGATGGAAAACAATTTGCCAGGCACAGTCAGCGCAGCCCACATGCAAAACAATAATCCAAGAGACACCTCAATTACCACCTGCAATTGCCAAAATCTAAGATTTAAAATTCCAATAAATAATACACCAACACATTTCAACACTCACATTCAAAGGAGACCCTGAAAATTCTTCCTCTGTGATCTTCAACAAAGCCCTATCTGCAACCAAACCATGCCAAATTTTCAGATACGCGCGCATTAAACCATTGAAGCTTTTTTTTTTTTTTCAATTAAGTTTAAATAAATAAGTATGAATTCAAGAGGGGGATGCATACATTGGATGGTAAAATATGCGGCGTGAAATAGAATGAGAAGGCCAAGGAATCCAACGACAAAACCTAAACCCATTATTTTTCTGTGCGATCAATTTGGTGATGATGATTGACGGAACATCTATGGAAAGGTCGGAGGTTTCGAGGATGAGTACAACAGGCACGGTCGCACTCACTCAGCTGCAAATTGCAAATTTCACTCCTAAATAAATCTTTCCTTCTTTCTTTCAGTTTTTTCACCTGAATAATTACTCGTTCAGCTTTTGATATTTCAATTTTCTATATATATTTTTTGTGTTTGAAAGATAACATACATTAAATAATATAATTAATAATTTAGTTTATATTTTAATTTTTTAAATTCTTCTACTAGTATTATTTTGTTCATTTATAATAAATATGTGAAATGCTTAAAAATGAGACAAAAACAATGAAATAGTTAAATAATGATGATCAATATTGTTTTCAATTTGTATATAAAAAAAATAGAAGAGAATGAATAAAATTAAACAAAATAAATATATTTAATTTGATTATCCTCAAAACAATGTTCTGCCTTGCATGAAATTGAAGGGTTTAAGAATTAACATTTTTTAAAGTATATGTTTATATGTGTATTTCTTGAATAATTGGTAGTTGACCATTGACTTCAATGTTCATTGCATCTTAGAGATAATTTGTTGATTTTTTTTTTTCTAAAAAGGGTATTGGTTTGAATACATGAGAGGTTTGAAAAAGGTCACGAATGATTATTGTCTACACCAATGGTCACTTCAATAAATTGTTGGAGTTTTCATGGAGTTAAGCTATAAAAAATGTATTCATTGGTTTTATCTAAAGCCTAATATTCATCCAGAAAAAAAGGTTTAATAAAAGTCTACAATAATGAAAATGCAACATAATAGTTAAGACTACATTGAGTGCATATATAAAGGAGGTAAATGTATATGTTGTGCATGCAATGATAAACTTAAAAGGAAGTTAGCTAAAATTGGCACGAGAAAAGTATGATACTGTGGATGATATAAATTCCAAAAAAAATAATGATAATAGAATTTGATTTAAGAATAATAAAGATGATAAAAACATATATATATATTGAGAAACAAATATAAAAATTGACAAGTGCTAAAAAAGATAATATTAACTCTAACACAAATAACTTATATACTAAGTCAGAGGATGATAAAAGTGGGGATGTTTATGGTTAAAAAAATCAGTTTATCATCAATATAATCCTATTGAGATGTCAAATTGTTTTAATTTTTAGATATAAATTTTGTATAAATTTCATTCTACGCCACAATTTAAATAAGTAATAGTTAATGGTACATGTTAAATAGTTGTAGTGAAATAAAAATAATGATAATGCGAGGGTAAGAATGGTGAGCAGTAAAAAAGTTGGTGAAGTCAATTAAAAAAACTTCATTAATTGAATGATTAAGAAGATGAAGATTTTTTTTTCTTTTAGAGTTTTCAATAATCAAGGCTTATTAAGCTAAAAAGATAAAGAAAATATGCATTTTATTATAACTAACAATTCAATTTTAACATTTTCTCTCTCTCTCTCTCTCTCTCTCTCTCTATATATAT